GCACATCAACCGGAGAAACTCCCTACATGCTGGTTTACGGTACCGAAGCTGTCATCCCAGGCGAAGTAGAGATTCCTTCCTTAAGAGTCATACAGGAAGCTGAACTCAACGATGCAGAATGGATAAGAAGTCGCTATGAACAGTTGGCCCTTATCGATGGAAAGAGAATGAACTCAGTGTGTCACGGCCAACTTTATCAGAATAGAATGTCCAGAGCTTTCAACAAAAGAGTCAAACCAAGGCAGTTCGCAGCAGGGCAGCTCGTATTGAAGAAAATCTTCCCGCATCAAGATGAAGCCAAAGGAAAGTTCTCTCCCAACTGGCAAGGTCCATACATGGTTCACAGGGTCCTAACAGGATGAGCGCTCATACTTGCAGAAATGGATGGAGAAATCTGGCCAAAACCGATCAATTCGGACACGGTCAAGAGATACTATGCTTAGATTGTTTTACATTTCTTCATCTGATGTAATTGAACTACGCTTGACCTGATTCCCGTTTAAGAGGGGATACGTAGGCAGCCTTATGGGTTCGGTCATATCATAATAAAATTTTCATTCCCCCCCCCCCCAAAATTAGAAACTGGGGCAGAATTTGAGGAGGGTCCTCAAAATTTCGGAGCAAGTCCAGCCAGCGCCGTCACATGCCAGGAAGTCAATAATCAGTCAAGAGCTGGGGCAGAATTTTGAAAAGGATTCTCAAATTTCCGAAGAAGACTCAACAGGGTCCGCCATCCGCAAACAGTTAAAAATCATCTACCAAACTGGGGCAGAATTTTGAGGAGGACCCTCAAAATTCTAACATAGGAGAGCTGCAATGCCCTTGAAATGTGTCACAGTCGCTAGTTCATCAAAAAATTACTTGATAGATCAATACGCTTCCAAAACGTTTCTATTTTATCAATGATTGCATATTTTTTCGAAAATCCTATTTTCATAACAGTCAGGTGCTACCTGGGGAGCTCGAAGGGGGCTTCCAGAGCGGAGCAGAGCAAGGCCGACATACGAAGCAAGAACCAATCTCCCCTCATAAAACTTATGATTTTTCTTTGAACGCATGCACATTTGACCTAACGGTAGCATTCGCGGAACACGTATACACAAAGCGAATTCACCATCCATCTGGCCATCAGACACTGAATATATCCTAGCTAAGACATACTCTACCCTTATCTGCTATTATCTCTTTGCATGAGTCTAATCTCTGACTCCACATTTGCATGAGTCTAATCTCTGAGTCCACATTTGCATGAGTCTAATCTCTGACTCTACATTTGCATGAGTCTAATCTCTGACTCCACATTTGTATGAGTCTAATCTCTGACTCCACATGTGCATGAGTCTAATCCTTGACTCCATAATTGCATGAGTCTAAGCCTTGACTCCATACTTACATGAGTCTAATCCATGACTCCACATTTGCATGAGTCTGATCCTTGACTCCATATTTGCATGAGACTAAGCTATGTCTCCATACTTGCATGAGTCTAATCCTTGACTCCATAGTTGCATGAGTCTAAGCCCTGACTTCATACCTGCATAAGGCCACATCTGCCTTCTCTTTGCATAAGTCTAATCCTTGACTCCATATTTGTATGAGTCTAATCCTTGACTCCACATTTTGCATGAGTCTAATCCCTGACTCCATATTTGCATGGGACTAAGCCCTGTCTCGCATCTTGCATGAGGTTAAGCTCTACCTCCACATTTGCCTCCTCTTTGCATGAGACTAAGCTCTGTCTCCAATCTTGCCTGAGTCTAAGCCCTGACTCCATATTTGCACGGGACTAAACATTGTCCGTCTTTGCAACAATGCTGCTCTATTTTCTACTACCATCTACTTGCTTTTCGATCGGGCTATGCTCTGCCCTTCATTTCACAAGACTAAGCCTTGTCTTGTTACATCATATTATTGCATTTCATGGGCTGAAATATCGCCAATTTATCCAAAGGCGCCATAGTCTAAAGGCATCATCCTCATAGCCGGAAGACACCGTGCCATGGCCTGAGGATCTCTCAAATTTGCATATCATTATTCAAAGGCGTCATGGTGCGGAGGCACCATTTTCATGGCCCGAGAACATCATTTCATGGCCTACGAATCCCTCACTAAACAATTCATGGCCCAGGACGTCATGGTCCAAGGACGTCATCTTTAACCGTCCGAAGACAACCTTCATGGTCCAAAGGGAATTTGCATCATGTTTAAATTTTCGCAAATATGTTTGTAGCATCTTTTATTTGCAGGCAATCAGCAAAAAACCGCTATCCTAGCAGGAGCGATCTCGCTCCAGTTCCCTCCAACCGTCCCGAACCTTAACCACTCATCGTAGCTGCTTCCACATCTCGTGTCCGTTCTTGCAATAATCTCATCGGCATACTCCGCAGGTGAATCCAGAACTACACATGGCCTGATTCCTGTAAAACGCTTTTAACAACAACAAAATGCTTTTTAAATAGTCTTTTACTAAAGAATGGCAAAATCGTCTTTTTAAAACGCTTTTAACAACAACAAAAACGGGTACGGATGCGAACGAAAAAACAAACCGGGTACAAGTTAAAAAGGGGCGACAAAATAGGGCGCCCCATGCAATTTTTACTATGTTTTGCATGTGAGTAAACAACCTACTTTGACTAAAATCGCGTACTCTCATTAGGTGGAAATTACACTAGGTAGCTAATTTAAAGGGTTAGTATTTAGGAATTCCACGTGTGCAAATGTTCTGAATTATTCTGAAATTAAAATTCTTAACTCAAATTTTCAGGACAAAATAAGTACTGACTAATTCCTAAACGGTAACCCTAAGAATGACCGTTTGTATAGTATACTTTCTCCTCACTTTAGCTACGGCCCAATAGGAGGCCGGGCATTAAGAGAAAACTCTTCCTTAATATTTCTTTGTTAATTTTCAAATGTCCACGAATAGTACAGGAAGAACCGAAACCTTACACTAATTGGTGAAGATGAAATTGCCAATACCAATTACCAAACTCCGAGAATAGACTCCGTTCCTTAAGTAATTACGTAGAATATACTTCGAGCTTTTGACTTTGGTCAAAGAGTAGGGTCAATCACAAAGAAGGCATTTATCATTAAGAACTATGGCTATTGCGTTCAAATCTTCTACCAAGCAATTATAAAACAACATGAGTACAAAGAGGAGTAAAATCTATAATTGCTTTAATAGAAGCATTAATTCGTGACCTACATCACGGGTTTGAGTCATTGAAGTAGTTACTAATATTTGCATGGGTAGATTGTTTATATCATACTCCTTAAGGTGCGATATGAATACAAGATATTTTGTGCACCGAAAAATTAATTCAAATTTTAGATAATGCTAGTGGGGCAATGGTATCTCCCAACTATTCCCCAAATTGTACAGAAAAGGAAAAATATAGGGCACTTTTAGCACTAGAGGGACACATGGGAATATCATCACAAAAATTTGCCTATGCTGTTCTTTTCATTAAATCCTAGTATATATTATGGTGTGTAGCATCAATGCATCACGCCAAAGTATTCCTTTCAATGCATGCTCAACTTTAATTTGAAAGCTTTGGATCCCCTTTGGAGATAATGAGTTCTTTAACTTCCTCTTGGACCAAAGTAAAAACAAGTTTACAAATAAATATAATTTGCTACATTGATTGACAGTTAGAATATCATGAAATCCTTCTAATTTCTTGGAGAATCCTAAGCCTGGCTTCGAGGTGTCGGGAGGAATTGGATTCGATCTCAAAGCTTCCTAATCTATGGCTGAATCGTAGACCATTTAACTAACATATTATCCCAACATATCCCGTGCAATTGTAAATTTTTAACAACAACTATATTAATAATAACAATAATAATAATAATAATAATAATTATTATTATTATTATTATTATTATTATTATTGTTGACTTTAGGCTTTTAGTATCCCAAATTCACCGGATCAGGGGCATTTGCATCTATACCCGCTTTTTGTGCCACATTTTAACCTGTGCCCGCTTTGCAAAAAAATTGCAAGCGTACCCGCTTTTTCACATAACTTCAGCCCACGGGGCTGAAGTTTTCTTTGTACTGGAAAACTCAGCTGAAGTTTTGTCTTTGTACCGAAAAACTTAAGCTCTAGACCTAAGTTTACNTTGCCAGTTATAAAATAAAAACTTCAGCTCTAGAGCTGAAATTTTATTTTATAAGTTTTTGTTTAGTAACCGGGAAACTTCAGCTCTAGAGCTCAAGTTTGCCAGTTATAAAATAAAAACTTCAGCTTTAGAGCTGAAGTTTTTGTTTAGTAACCCAGAAACTTCAGCTCTAGAGCTGAAGTTTTCAAGTTATAAAATAAAAATTTCAGCTCTAGAGCTGAAGTTTGCTAGTTATAAAATAAAAACTTCAGCTCTAGAGCTGAAGTTTTTGTTTAGTAACCCGGAAACTTCAGCTCTAGAGCTGAAGTTTCTTATAAAGGGAAGCTGAAGTTTTTTAAAAAGTGGGTACGGATGCAAACAAAAAGACAAAGCGGCTACAGGTTAAAAAGGGGCGCCCAAATAGGGCGCCCCGTGCAATTTTTACACCGGATCACCATTTCAGATTGAGAATGATATGTTCAATACTCTCTATCAAAAAAATTTAATTCTGAGGATCCAAACTTAGACCTATATTTAAGGACAAAATAAATCATTCCTAGAAATATTAATATAGCCGTTCTTCTAGCCGATTTATTAAATTAAAAATAGTCGACAGATGTATAATGTTTATAATATATATAACTGTGTATAATTAACGTATAAATTATATATATTAATAAATAAAAAAATTATATCGGTTAGTTATATAAATATCTTTAAATCCTATTCATTATTGATTGAGAAAGAAATGGACGAAAAATGTAAAAGAAAAAAAAAACAAAAAAAAATACAGAAAAGGAGGAAGCCCAAGAGGCAAAAAGCAACCGGAATGGAAAAAATGGACCAATGAGGAGAAGCTAAGGCAGAATATATATATTTAGCTTGAAGAGAAGCACAGCCAAACCAACAGCAATAACTGTGTCACACTCCCCATACAAATTATGACAACAACCCATCATTCCCACGCTATGTAACTCGCATCCTATGACCCACCACTCCTAAATGCTCTCTCATTCACTACCAACAATTGGCTAGTGGAGTATAACCCAAAGTGCCTAATTAAGAGAGCAACAACAATGGCGCTTGCTAATGAAAAATCTGTGTCTGATGGCAAGATTTGGGGTCTTTGTAAACTTCCATTTTGGCATTCAAATAGCAGCTCAGTCGCTGCTTCTTCTTCTTCTTCGTCTTCTTCTTTTAGGCAACAACAACAACAGCATCTCAATGGCGTGTCTGTGGATCATCATTCTAATGTTCATGCTTCCCTTAAGGTTTCTTCTGTAGCCAAATCCTTACTTCCAACTCGTCGCAGACTCAGTCTTGATCCACAAAACAAGCTCTATTTTCCATGTATGTTCACCATTTTCGCTCTTTTTTTCTTTTTGTTGGTTATTTTGGCTATACCCATCTAATTTTTTGTGACCATATCCACTTTGATATGGCATCTGTTTTGTGTTTCCTATTGCATAATTGGTTGATTTCTCATCACTGAGGTAATTCACTTATTTTGCTACTTCTCTTTTGCTTATTTGTCTTAATTTTGGATTTAACAGAAAGAAAAACTTATGCATTACTTTTATCTTTACTGAAATAGAAGGTTGATTTGTGATTCTGAGAGTTATGTCAAAAAGCAATTTATAGAATATATTTAGCTGCTTCACTAGGAGTCTACTTATGTTTATTAATTTACTGGCCTAATATTAACTGCTGCACCTATCCCAATTTATTGTTATGTCGAGGAAGAGACAAACCCGAAAATAAAGAAGATAAAGAACACCAAATTTTAACGTGGAAAACCCTTCAAATCGAAGGTAAAAACCACGGGATCACAAAGATCCAAAAAGCTCCACTATAACAATAAGAGGGTTACAAAAGTTCTCCAAATTGGCTACACAACAAGGGCCAAACACGGAGCTACAATAGCAACAAGAGCAACAACTAATCAATTGAAGAAAAAATATAATCCACAAAACGAAGCTGCTGTTCGAGGCTCGAAATCAGATGCTACGAGCCTCCAAATCCGATCTTCACCGTTCAAATCCAAGACCAAGATGTTATGAACACTCAGTCAAAATTTCAGCCCGATCCAACGGTTAACGAATCGGAAAACGTGATTTGAAGTTGGCTGGTCGGAATAAAAATCTGCAGCAAAACAAATACTTTTTTTCTCTCTTCTCTCTTGATGAAAGCTCTCTTAAAACCCACTCTTATGTGCTTAAGTCTTTCAAAGACTTGTATCAATGAGCATAGAATAATTCTCCAAGGTTGTCCTATTTATAGATCATGAGTGGTGCTTTCTCTTAAAGCCAAAACCCACTCAAAATAGGAATAAACAGAATCTAATTCCAAATAGGATTGGAAACCAAAAGAGAATAGGATTAGG